AAGCCTTGCCCCTGCCACCCCACATCATTGTGGAAGCTGTCACCCTTCACGGGCCAATGTCTGGTCGTGTTGTCTGTCTGTCCTGCTCTCACACGTGTTCTACCACCATAGACACCCCAGAAAGTGGAAAGTACTGAGAGTGGCTCTGGAATTCACTGTGCTCAGAGGGTCTGAGCCTGCTCAGTGCCTGGGGCCTGGCCTTGTGTTCTGAGCAGTGCAGGGATCCCAGGAGCTGCTGATTCCCTGCTGCAAGAGCCAGTCCCAGCAGCTTTGCCTTTTGATTGGATGATTAGCAGTAACATTAATGTATTTATCTAACACTGTACTTTTTTCATTGAATAGCTCAAATTTGTTTTGTTTTTTTTTTTTTTTTTCTCCCAATTGCACTTCCAGCTGTACAATCTATGGATCATTCTTTTGATGGAATATCCATAAAAACGGAGGAAGGTGCCCACCAGAGAAAAGCTAACACTTGAAATTTCAGACAAATCCTCCAGCTCCTTAGGAAAGGAATCATAAATGGGACCACGATGCGTTGTGTTTTTAATATGTGGCTATTGCTTTCTGTGTAGTGCAGTGAAACATCTGGGAAAATCAAAATTTCTTCTTGATCAAAAACACCACGAGCAGCACACAGGAAAATCCACCCATCCCACTTCAAATATTGGGACGTAATGCTCAGCATATGTGCAAAAACTGATGACAGTGCAGGTTGTGCTGAGTGTTTCTGCAGCTCTGGCTGCAGAAGGAAACGGTGAATTACCTTAAAAATAACCCCCACTAAAGCAGGAGGCTGCTGCCAATCCTAATGGCAAGGATTGCCCAAAATTCCTTCTGGAGTTTGGGTTGTCAGAGCCCTGTCCTGCCCCTGCCCATGGGGTGAGCCTCTGGTGGCAGCACTAAGCTTGGCCTGAGGCTGGGCCTTCCTTCCCCTGCTCATTTATCAGGGGGAACCCTCTATTCCTCTCTTGAGGTGCTTTAAAGGCCAGCCCATCACATGGTGGGATGAACCAGCTCACCTCTGAAGCAGGAGAGCCCTTTCTGTGAGGGAGAGGATGTGCTTGAATCTGTCATGCAGAAAAGCAATGCAACATAATAAAGCCAATGCAGGGAAATGTTCTATTTTGAGAAACCAAATTTGCATGTTCTGATCAGGTCTGGGTGCTTCTGTGGGGGAGTGCAGCTCTGCTCTGTCCCTTCTCAACACCAAATCAGTCTGTCCTTCTCAGCTCAACAACAAAGGCATTGTTCTCCTCGTTTACTGACTTGATAACTGAACTGGAAGGTTCTGAATCACTGCCTGAGTGGGCCTTTCTCACTGAGTATCAACATGAAAGCAGTATTTTTCCTTTACATTTTCATCTGCAGAAGTGGAAGCCAGAGCACCACGAGCTCTGCTTGCATCACTGAATCAGATCAGTGTCTAGTAGGTGAAACACCCTCAGGATTATGCAATAAATATAGAACGGAGTAACTTCAGCGTTCCTGTTCTTCAGCAATAGTCCCATTTTGGGAGATAAGCTGATTAATCCACCCCCTCCCTCCCCATGCCCTGCACAATGACTGGCAAATAATTTTGCTCGAGGCTGGTGCTGAGCAGTAGGTGTTGGGTGCCTCATCTGCATCCCTGATGAGCTTCACCACTGAGAAGCAGTTTGGAGGAGGAGACACGGTGCTGGGAATTTGCAGAGTACTCCAGAAAGGATCCTTGGTGAAAGGCAGAACTTTTAGGACAGATTTTTCCCAAAGCTGACTCTCAGTCCTGCCACCCCTGGGTACCTCCCTGGCAAGAGCACAGGTGTGATTTTCTGGTCAGGGTGAGGTGCTTGTGTTTGGAGGTGCAGGAACAAGGCCGAGCTCTGAATCCTGGATTTCCTGAGCTGTGTGTGACCAGTGAGCTCAGCCAGACAGAAATAGGTTTGGGTTCCACCTGCAGTGCTCAGGGCAGCAGGGTGGGCACGCAGGTGGCAGCTCTGAAAGAATTTCCCCAGTGCTGAGAGTGACAAAGAAAGAGCAGCGCTGCTCCATTTCTGGGGGCTCACCAGAGAGGAATAAAAAGTGATCAACAGGGCAGGTTTAATGTGGCTGCTCATAAAGCACCTTGAATTCTCTGCCAGTGGAGCCACACTGGCACACATTTAATTTGAATTTTCTCCTGGTACTTTCCTCTAAACTTCAGACTGCACTAGTAATACACTTGCAGACTTATTAAAAGCAGTGAAAGTCTTGCAAGCCAGCTGAGGATGGGCACAGCAGCACAAGTGTGTTGTGCCCACCTGCAGGCATGAAAATAGTGCTTCATGTTGGTACTGTGCTTTGGGGGCTCTGCTGGGTGTCACCTGTGCCCAGGGTGTCACCTGGGCAGCCCCTGACCCTCCTGTCTCCTAGGCAAAGACAAGAAGGGGAGCTGCAACCTGTCCCGAGTGGACAGCACCACCTGCCTCTTCCCCGTGGAGGAGAAAGCTGTGGAATATTACTTTGCTTCTGATGCCAGGTAGGGTTTTCCAGCCTCTCTGGTGTAGAAATATCCTGTTTTAAAGCCTCTGGAGCAAGAGATGGGGAGGGTGTGGTTTCTTTGTGAACAAAGTAAATTGTGTGCACGTGGCCATCAATTTACAAATACTACCCAAAACAGAGTTGCTGTTAAAGCAATGAGTGCTGGCCTTGGAATAGTGTTCCCATTCTTCAGGCTCATCTGTTGGTAGGATTTCCCAGTGAGAGGAAACCTGAGAGAGCCCTGACCTAAATTAGCAGGCCAGGTGCTAATTATGAGGAGAACTGTGTTGGTTCTCCAGGGGTCTCTGCACACAAGCAATTCCTTCATCATCAAAGGTGGCATTTGTAATCCCAGAGGAGTCAGGAGAGAGCAGCTTGGCAGCAGCCTTAGCAGAGTCTTTGGGATTCTCTGGTTCAAGAGGAATGAGTGCTTGCTCCAGGAATGTAAAAACACTGCTGTGGTTGGCTTCTGCAGCTCCTTCCAGCAGAGAATTCTGGAGGCTCTCGGGACACCCTGATGTGTTCTGGTTTTAAAGCTTTTCAGTGGCACTCCAGGCAGTGCTGCTGCCTTACCAGGGGCCAGAGCTGTCCCTGCTTTTACAGCTGGGCAGAGTGAGGTGCAGGGAGGGACAGTGGGTTACCCCTGGGAAAACCAGGGAGGGACAGTGGCTTACCCCTGGGAAAACCAGGGAGGGACAGTGGGTTACCCCTGGGAAAACCAGGGAGGGACAGTGGCTTACCCCTGGGAAAACCAGGGCAGGAGGATCCTGTTCTGTGTGTGAGCAGCCTGTGCACCAGGGCACATCCCTGCCCTTCTGACCTCCCAGCTCCACACAGATCCCATTTGTCTGAGCAACTTCTCCTTAAAGCTCTTAAAACTCAGCATTTCTCCCTGAAATGAATAATGAGCCTGGTGGCTCGTTAATGATAAGAAAATCTATGATGATAATCTCATCTATAATGGGAAAATGAATAATGAAATTAATAACGAGCCAGTTCCACTGGCAGGGTGGAAATGCACTTCACAGGATTTGAAAAGAGGAGGAGATTGCTGGGGTGCTGGGAGGGCTGCAGTGCCCAGAGCAGGGTGTGAGTGATGTCCACTGTGGCTGGCACATTCTTATCTCTCTCAGGATTTTTTCATAGAGTAGCACAGAGGAAAAAAAGAGCAAACAATTTCTATTTCTGCTCCCTGTTTTTTCCCATGTGGAATGTATTTGGAGAATTGTTTACCTGGGGTGATTGCTTGATTGGATTCTGGTGAGGATTGTTTGAGCCTGATGGACAATCCAATCCAACCCACCTGGGGCTGGGCTTGAGCGAGAGGGCTAGGAGTTGTGAGGAGTTAATTTGGTAGTTAGAAAAAGTAGGTTTGTAGTATCTCCTTTAAATCATATATTAATGTATTATAGTTTTAGAATCTCCTGTGTAGTTTTTCAGTATCTCCTATGTAGTTTTTTAGTATCTTCTTCTTTTTTTAGTATCTTCTATGTAGTTTGAGTATCTCCTTTGAATCATATGTTAATGTATTATAGTTCTAGTATCTCCTATGTAGTTTTTCAGTATCTTCTACGTAGTTTGAGTATCTCCTTTAAGCAGTATATTACTGTATTATAGTTTTAGAATCTCCTGTGTAGATTTTTAGTATCTCCTATGTAGTTTGAGTATCTCCTTTGAATCATATATGAATGTATTATAGTTTTAGTATCTCCTATGTAGCTTTTCAGTATTTCCTATGTAGTTTGAGTATCTCCTTTAAGCAGTATATGAATGTACTATAGTTTTAGAATCTTCTGTGTAGTTTTTTAGTATCTCCTACATAGTTTTTCAGTATCTCCTATGTAGTTTGAGTATCTCCTTTGAATTGTACATTAATGTATTATAGTTTTAGTATTTCCTATGTAGCTTTTCAGTATTTTCTATGTAGTTTGAGTGCCTCCTTTACGCAGTATATGAATGTATTATAGTTTTAGTATCTCCTATGTAGTTTTTCAGTACCTCCTGTGTAGTTTGAGTGCCTCCTTTACGCAGT